GAGGCTCTATTGGATTCTAAAAATGAAGGGAATATAGTTCAGCAATAGAATCAGTATTATACATTCTCCTGAGATGATTAAATTGTGCTTGAGTGGACAGTTTAGCATGCTCTCCATGCAATTTACAAATTGACCATTCAACAAAAACTTCAAGGTCAAGGTACTGTAATCCGATATATGTGCTCCCAAGGTAGCAAACCAAGAAACACCAAGGACCAAATCAGCACCTAATATTGGCAGCAAATAAATAGGCAGCAACAATGAATGATTCTGAATTGAAACTTCAAGTTCCTCAATAAAGCCTTCAACCACAAGTGAATTCCCATTTCCTACCAATACATTGAAGTTGTGTATTGGTTCCACTGGCAATTTTAAGTGAGTAGCTATTGTTGCAAGAAATTGTCTGAGCTTCCACTATGTAGGAGAATTTGAATTGGTAAACCATTAATGAGCCCTTTAAACCACATGGTACCAAGGCCAGCAGAGCCTTTCAAAGCATTAAAGGACAAATGGGGTTGACATGACACTAAGGTCGCATCCTCAGTAACATTATCAACAGAGGATAATTGTAAGTCACTGCAGTCATCATCCTCATCTAACTGTAACCACAAATATTGTTTGTTGGGACACTTATGTGAACTTCTCATCACAAGTGAAACACAAGCCCTTCTCTCTATGCAATTTCATTTCAGCAAGGGAAATCTTCTTAACATTGGAAGTTTTGGAGGTATTAGTGGTGGCAAGTTTGGGTAATAAGGGAGATAAGGTTGAGGACTTGACGGACTGGGACAAGGAATGGTTAATATTTGTAGTTTGTGTTTTGGGTGGGTAAGTTTTTTATTTCAGGGTGTATTTTTCTTCAAATAGCTTGGCCAAGGAGACACATCGCATCAATGTGGACAGTGTTTGGGCAAGCACATCTCTACAAATGACTTGCTGCAAGCCTCCAACAAAGCAATCAAGTAGAGCTTCAGTGGTCAAACCCTGAACACGGTTAGCTAGAGCTGTAAATTTCATATAGTAATCATGCACTGTTCCATCTTGAGTAAGCTTAAACAAATCAGATCAAGGACATTCATAGGGTGAGGGGCCAAATTCCAATTCCAAAGCACGAGTAAAAGCAATCCAAGAAGGAAAAGAATCAGCTCTAGACTGCATTTTGATACCATGGAACAACTTCTTTGTCCATGTGTACAGAAGCAATGAGTAAAAGTTGTTCATCTGAATTGTTGTAGTAATCAAAAAATTGTTCTACCTTAAAAATCCATTGGAACACATCAGACCCATCGAATCTGGGAAAATCTAGCCTAACATTACGAACCTGGAATGAAGACGACTAGGATGGTGGACGAAATCCAGATTCAAGCACAGCTACTGACTTGAGTAACGAGTCCATCGTAGTCTTCAACATCTCAAATCTCGCAGAATCATCCTTGTGACGATCGTTGAGTGCAGCAATCAAGCTTTGCAAATTGCGATCTGTAGCAGCAACGGATTTTGTCAATTGCTTGACGTCTATGGTAGAGTCCTTCAAACGAGAGAGCTCAGCAGCTATCTCCTTTAGACGCATATTTTCCACCATGAATTGAAGAAAGCACCAATTGTAATAAAGCAACTCAAGAGGGAAAGAATAACAGGGATTAACGAAACAGCAGAGTACTAATAATGGCGATTTTATTTGAAATACAGGACAATGTTTTGAAAATGCAGTAACAAGCGATGAAAAAGAACAATAACAATAGCCCTCGGTCAAAGGAGTGCCAGTTAGGACAGAGAAATTGAACTAGAGAGAGAAAAGTTCCAATTAAACCATCCACCCTCTTTCTCTTTACAATTACGATATTTATACTAGTGGCTATCCTACATGAAATCCTTCAACCGTGTGCTCTCTTGCTTAGATCACGCGCTTTTCCTCACCATGCCTTTGTGTCAACTGCCACGTGTCTTGCCTTGCTATTCTCACTTGGCCCTACATGGTCCACCTCTTTCTCAGCATTTTCAGGCCCATTCCTTACATATATATATATATTAAAAACACTGCAAAATGTGATATAAAACGAAAAAGCGTACTACATATGTCAAAATCAAGAATATAATTGATAGAAAATCATCAAATAATATCATATAACTCATATATAGATCTCATAATAAGATAATGGCCTAAGTCTCAAAGCACACGTTTAATACAAACTAAAAGCAATCAAGTCTCAAGTGAAACAAAGTGATAAAAAAGAAGGAAAATAGAAAGACTAATTGAGGAAGCTTATTGGATTAATCCGATTAATTTCCCTTGAAGGATTTGAAGAAGCTTGTTATAGGCTATGTTAAGGAAAATTGCAGCTCAAACCAAGGAAGCAGTGTTAGAAAAAAAAATGGATGAAAACTAGAGAAGGAAAACTCAAAATAAAATGAGAAGAAAATATGAGAGGAGAAAGTTGAAACAAAAAATGGTGAAAGGGCAAATATAAGAGAAATGTGGAGAAGGAAAAAGAAAAATAGAATGAAGGAGGATAAAACAAAAACAAAAGGACCTGCTAACCAGAAAATGGGGGTTGCTGGAGCTCATGGTTGTTACAAGGAAGGTGAGATAAGGAGATGGGAGGTTGCTATGAGAGAGAAAGACGTAGTTGAGACTGACAACAGAGACAAACATGGTAGAAAGTCTACATTTTAGGGCTTTTTATGCTGGGTCAATGTGGTACTAGGTCAAATCAACAAGCCTAATTCTTTTTTTTTTTTGGCAGATTCCGGACTGTTTTTTCTGCCATGGCTGCCATAACTGCAGTGATCATCATGCAAATAATGGCTGCCTGACCTGCCATGCCCCACCATATGTCTGATTGTTAAAAAACTGCTACTGTTTTCCGCAACGGTGCTACCATGGTAGCCATTTGATATCATTATTTATAGGAATTAAGTTTAAATTGTGCAACTTTTATAGAAACCAAAAACTTAATTAAGCCTTTAAAGTGGACACTTTAACAAACTTGGAACCATGATTCATAGTTTTAGAAGGTTCAAATGGCCTAATCATTGATGAATGATAATTAAAGACTTAGTAACTGAACAAGCAATTGGAGCTAGTGTGTTCAGATATTATATTTGTTAGAAAAAATTGTATGATAATATTTTGCAAAGTAACAAATATCACAATAAGATTACTCATTAGACTCTTCTCTAAACAATAAAAGAAACATAAGATCTAAGAACACATAATGGGAAATGGCCTACACATTTGTGTTGAAGCCAAATTGGAGGGACTTTGGACTCCAAACTTGTATAGAGGCAAGATTGTGACACCTGTTTGACATTGTCCTTCATTCTTATACTTTGTATGTATATATTATAACCCACTGTGTTTCTTAACAACTTCAATCGTTATCAGTGTAGTCAGATTCTAAGAGAAATAGTGGGAAGGAAGAAAAAGGTTACTATACATTTCAAGTTGCAAGTTTTTAGATAGAAACAAGATTATTGGAGTTAAGGAGCATACAACACGTCATTTGGAGTACCTGATAATCTCGTCACAATGTTAGGCCCTTAAATCCTCCAATTGTCTGAGAACTTTCTGTTCCCATGAAACTTAAAACAAGTTTATTTTGTGTAACTTGTTCGCCTACAATATGAGCATCAATGACCTTCTTATTGAAGGTGGATTTCCCAAATTCAGAAGTATTTGTCTCTAGTTTAGGAATATTTTAGTCTAGCTCCACCCATAAGCCATGCAAACTTTCAGTAGTCTGTCACTGAAAGAGTTCCTTGACTAGCACTAAAGATTTTACTCTCTAGTTCATAACAAGGGGAGACATCCTATTTTATGGAGTAGGTTTGACGGAGATTATTCCAAATCTCTCGAGTAGTGGAGAAGAAAATGTAATTCCAGCTAATTTCTAACCAAGTCATAATTAGAGAATCCTTCTCATCTTAGGCCCCAAACTCTTCATCGCCCTCAGCTAAGGCCTTTCCTTTGATGTGGTTTTGTCACTTTCTTTCCGTCAAGGTTCTCCAGACAAGTTGTGCATCTAGGCCCACAGTTGGTTAGAGAAAGGCAATGTCAAAAGTTCATGAGTTCAGAGGTGTCTGATGAACTCTAGTAGGCAATGTCTTGGGTCCCTCCCCTTTTGCCATAACAGCACGAAAGAATATCAAACAGTGATCTGAGGGAGGACAGCTCCATAGGTCATGACAGGACAGGATGATGGTCCCAATAGGAAAAAGAGACATAGATGAACATGTCTGAACCTGCTTGAGGTGAAAGAGAGGCCTGGACGATGGTTGGAGGCTTTCAAACTTTCTAGGTGGGTGCTTATAGGTTTTATCTGATCTAAGGGAGGCGCACCTCCTAGTATGGTTGCTGGTCAGAAATAATAAGGCAGTAGATGGTGGGTTGTCGGATAATGACATGGGAAAAGTTCTATGGTGCGATGAAGGCACCCTAAAAACAGGTTTTATCTTGTTATTTCACTAAGTTGCACAAATAACAAGAAAAAAGAGCTTGTGCATCACATGGGTTCTATACTAGTAATAAAGGAACACACCAACAAAAACTCCATTAAAAACGTAACACATTCATATTTTATTTCAACTATCAGCTGATTTCACCATACTAACAACTATTTCCAACTGTGAAGGTAGACAACAATATAAGAGGTAATTTAGGTCATCATGCTACTATAGACAATCATATACTTCCTACCTCTCTTATCTTTATCGGTTAAACAATGCACCTATCTTGTGTCTAATCTAATCATTTATTTGTTATACCCTAAAATTCTGTTTGTCCATTTCACGTGCATACGAAACAGCAAAAAATCTTAGTTCCAAGACTAGGTTCAAACCATCCTTGGTTTAAAATTTTGAAATGATTTGAGAACAATGTCCCATAATCCAAACAGTTGGCCCAAGCCTAAGCTACCTCAGATCAGAACATGTGCATCATTTAAGGGATAAAATAATCAGCCAACTCACATATTTATCAAAGAGACTAACAAAACACATACCTATCAGCCTTATCAAATCCAAACCTAGCACCAAAATAAAAAGCCACAGCAAGTAACCAAGCATCACTGTGTACAGCGACCAAAGACAGCCAGTCCTTTTCTTGCATCCCATCTCTGGCGAAGTTAATGCCCAATGCTGGCTCTGGAAGCTCTGGGGGCACCTCCTCAGCTGGCAGATTGACCTCCCACTGCTCACTAGGAAATCCATAGAGGCAAAGATTTTCTTTCTCTGCATCACAAAGCTCATAAATCAATTAAACTGCCCAAGTCTAATGCAAAAATTTCAACAGTACAAAGAACTTTAAATGTTATAAGAACAAAACTATAATCAGCAATTGGGAGCCAATATAGTAGCATGGTAAGACAGCATATAATCACCACTCATTCAGGATACAAAACACCCCCAAAAGAAAATATTCTTATTCGGTACTACATTGGATATTTGGATACACAGAAAAATAGAAGCTAACAGAAAATTCTGTTGTTTCCAAGAAAAATAGGTTACCTACTAAAGACCTGTTTGGAAGAATTTATGGACAGCTAATGGTAATAGCTAATGACTCCCGTGAGCTCTTTTTAGCTTATTCCAATAAGCTTTTTGGTATAACTTATCAAAATAAATAAATTGTTTTTAACTTATTCAATAAGTTTCATGTTTATGACACAAGTCATTATTTAAAAAGAGCTTATTGAATATGCATTTAAATAAGTTACATATCCAAACGCACCGTAAATCCAGTATCATGGGTGAAAATATTAAGCAATCAGTTTACTCCAGTCAAAATAAATCCCTAACCTAATCCAACCATCTACTGAAGTGATGAATCTTTAACTTTCAAGTAACCCAAACATTCCTCTTCTATTCAAATTTTCTCACTCTTACTACACACTAGGGCTATTGATTAAGTTTTAGCTTGCACTTTACACATGAAATATCATAAATTCAAATAATGCAAACAATGATATTAAGAGGTTTTATATTTTCTCTGTTATAACAATTTATTTAAATTTTAAAGTTAAACAAATTTAGTAGATTAGAACAGTTATTTTAAAGACAAGGTTGAGCAAGGAAACACAAACTTTATATGGTTGCCATAGCTGCATTGGACACTTGAAATACTCCTGACTTGCATATTGCAATGTTTACTTGTTATATCAAAGATTTGGGTTCTAAATTTTTATGTTAATAGTATATTAATTTTATATATTGTACCCTAACCTCATCCTATTCCATAAATTTTAAAATTATGACATACAATAGATGTTTGGTTTAAATAATTTAGAAAAATAATTACTTATATACTAACATCTTAAGAGCAAGGACAGAACTACAAAAAATTAGTAAAGAAAACAAAAATATAAAATGATGTTGAGCAAAATCACAATGATTAATTCCACTATTAATAATTATCTTATCTATAATTTGGTTTAGTAAAAAATAAGGAAAAGTTTAAAAATTCAACACAGTTTAATAGAAATCAACAAAACTTTTAGTTCAGGTGATTTATTATAATTCATAAAAAAAATTATATTTTTTCTTAAACATTTAAAATTTCAAAGAAAATGATTATATTGCCAAAACCTATTTGACTCTCAATGAATAAAGATATTCTATGAAAATTTAAAAAGGGACATAATTATGTGAATAAAATATATTACAGAAAAAATTTCCTTCAGGAGGGTGACTACCCCTATTTCAATGTGCCTAGTTCCGTCCCAGCTCAAGAGATCTTCAAAAAACTATTTTTTCTACAAATTCAAGTCTAACCTAGCATGCATGTACTTGTTTAAACCATATCACATTCATGCTTCCTAAGGACTAAGTGTAAGGACAAACGGTACCAAAAGCATCTAAAATGTAGATAAAATTTAGCTTAACGTTGTGACCCACCAAATATAATTCATATGAAAGTGTGAATGAAAAGTTAATAAAAAAAGGCAAATAAACTTTTTGGGCCCATGTACAATTAAAATAATGATGCAAGTTAAAATTGAAAGATACCCACTGAAGAATTTGCTAATTGAGATTCTTCCCTTATATAGTAGCATATGAATATTACAATCCACCCTAAGCTACAATAGCTTAAAAACAAAACCGTAATACAAGTTCACAATCGACCCGTAAAATTTTGGTTCATTTAAAAAACACCAAACAGCCATTTAAAAAAGGTAGCACGAGCCAACAGTAGAAACCAGTCAAAGCAACTAGACAAATAAAAAATATATATAAAACAAATAAACTCGTTTGGAGCTTTTTTAAATACTTTCAGAACACAGTTTGAAAATCCCACTGTTCAATCAATACTCAACTTAATAGGTTTTTAACATTTCACTTCAGCAATCAGTTCAATGGTGCAGAAAGAAAAAGAGAAAGAAAACAAAGAACAAAATAAAAACAATTAGTAACAGTAACCATCATTAAAACGTTACCGGGATCACACTGTTGATAGAACTCTTCTACATCTGAAGGAAGCAGGCGAAAAACAATTTGATTTGACAGGAAAAGAGAAAAAAAAAAAAGAAACAAAAATCAGAAAGGAAGAGAAGGGCATAAATTAAAAATTAAAAAAAAAAAAGAATAGAGTAGAAAGAAATAGAGAATAGAAAGCGAACCAGTAGTGAGGGCTTTAATCAAAGCAACTCTGCGACCCTTGAAATCCCTAAAGACTTCTTCGACCGTACGAGGATTGTACGGAGCAGCTGCATCCATGCTTGGAAGCGTGAATGGAATGGAATGGAATGGAATGGAGGGAAAGATATTGAAGCTTAACTATTTGACTCTCTCTGGAGTGTGTTATTAACGGATTTGAATCAGAAAAAATTGGATAATATTAACTGGATTTTATAGATGCCTATGGAGTCCGCAATACCCGGTTACCTTTTCGTTTACCCCCTTTCCACCTCTTTTTAAATTTTTTGAGCAATTTTCCTTATCTTGCTCCCTCACATTTTATCACTTGGCTAATGTTACACTCCCATTCACTTTTATTTATTTATTTATTCGATTTTTTAAAATTTATTTTTAGTCTTCATTTTTCATTTTTAAATATTAATAAGTTTTCCTGCATAATTATTTTAAATTTTATAAATTTAAAAAGTACATATTATAATTATTAATAATAAATAATTTATTATATTAACTATAATTTTAATTAATATTAAATTAAAAATAAATGCATTATATAACAAAATCATTTACCATGACAAAAAAACTAATTAACCCCTAAACATACTTTCATTTGAGAATACTCAAAAATATTCTTGTTTAAAAATTAATTTATATAAATTATATATAAAAGTTTATTAAAATTAGCTTTATATTTTATAATTTTATTTTCAAAATTTTATAATTTTAAATTTTAAATTTAAATCATACACTTGACTTATTTACTTGAATTTAAATTTATCCAATAATAATAATAATAATAATAATAATAACAATAATTTTATTAGTGATAATAATAGTAATATAACAATAATACTGTAAGATTGTGAAAAGTGTAATTACGAGTAAAGATAATTATTACTGCAGCAATGATAATTATAATAAAGATTGTTGTGACGTATATTTTTTTAAAAATTTATAATTTCAAAATTTAAATTAACTCACAAAAATTTGTTTGATAGTAATAATTTATTAATAATAATGATAACAATAACATTTATAACAACTATGGGACATATAATTTGTGATTGCAAAAATTTAAATTTCTATGAATAAAAATAACTATTACAACAACAAAAAATAATATTAATAATAATGATCAAAACTAATTGTAATGATAATTGTTACCTACATATAATTATATATATATATATATATATATATATATATTATCATAAAATTTTCAAATATTCACAACAGTGTGCAAATGCCCTCACGATAAAATATTAAATAGAGTAAATATTATGTGAACATAAACACAATAGCGATTTACTAGACAGGTGTGATAAACAACGTATTAAAAATAATTTAATTTTAGTATAATGCGTAAAGATTTGTATACTATGAATTAATTAAAATAAATTATGAATATAATTTGTATATTAATTTTTACAAAAATTAATGATTAGAGTCCATATGATGATTCATGAATAATGTACAAATAATTACACTTTTTAGTCTATTTAAATTAAATTTTTAGATTATTGTAATAATAATAATAATAATATATTAAAAAATGCAACACACTTAAAAAAGAAGTCTTGCAAAAAAAAAATTGAAAGAGGACACGTTTCTCCCATGATCAGACAAGGCACAATGGTATCGCGGGGGTTGCTACTCACTTGTAACGGAGTTTTGAGGTTCAAACAGCAACCTGTGATTGGTTTGGTTTAGTAACTGTTGGGCTTTTGATGCAGCCGACACAGAGGAAGACACTTCTCCTGCCGCTAAGGATGCCCATTTTAAAACAAAATTTATTGATGGGTAATGTCATCAGAAACTGTAACTTGTTCTCCAAGGTATCAAACTTTTATCGTTCTTTTTTCTTAATTTTATTTTTACTTACTTTACTTCTGTTTTAATGTTATGCCACAGTTTTATTAGTTGTGTCTAACATGCCGCATTTGAGTTCACACAAAAATTATAACATACGTCACTTCATGTTTGAATATTTTAAACTGATGTTTACTTGGACGCTTAATTATAAATTTTTTTAATTTATAATTACAAATCTTTTAATATAAATTTAAATATATTTTTTCTTTGTCAAATAAAAATTAGTAAATGAAATTTATTTAAAATACCTTTTAACTGTCTTGTTTTTAAGTCTTGTTTATAATATTTTTTAAAAGTATGTTTAAGAAAAAACTGTGCATAAATTGTACTAATCTTACATAATTTATGCAAATAGATAATTTTTATAATAAACATGACCGTACTAATCTTTAAACAAAATATAAGTAAATGTATCCTAATGCAACTTATGTTAATATGAGCATGTTGATAAACAATACATATTTTTATATAAAATGTTTAAGCTTTTTTGCAATTTTTATTGAGAAAAAGAATTTAGATTGTTTAAGATAATTATCACAGTAAAATAAGAAAATATAGAAAAAAGATTATGCATTGACAAAATCTCATTATGATAATAATTTATTAGATTAGAAGAGTAAATAAAGTTTTTTATATTTACTTGTTTAAATTATTATTTTTTTATTTTAATTTATCTTATATTTTAGTTTTACTTGCAATCAATTTTAGTTAGTTAATTTAGTCTTTTGTAAGTTATTTTATTATAATTTAATATTATTTTAATAGTTTAACATAAATTATTTGATCTAATATGTCATATTTAAGTTTTTTGTATTAATCATAGACTGATTGCAATTAACTCACCTAATATATGAATACAACTTTGCCTTGAAATTGCTAGATTATGTTACTTATCATGGGCAAAATGTTATAACTATTATAAGACATTTATTAGTGTGATTGTTTAATTAATTTAGTCTATTTTGTCAAAAAAAATTATAATTTAATATTGTTTTAGTAGTTTAACATTAGTTATTTGATCTTATATATCATACTTGAGTCTTCTATTCAAGCATAAATCTATTGTAATTAACTCATCCAATCTATGGCTATAGCTTTACTCCTAAAATTTTTAGATTTTTGCACTTATCATAGATGAAAGGTTATGACTATTATAAGACATCTATTAGTGCGTTTATTGAGCGATAACACCCAAAAATACACACATTCTATTTTTCATATTAAGAGTGTATAATCACTTAAAGATGTAACATTCTAGTCAAGATTGCAAGTAGACAATCTAGTTATTAGTGGATGTACAAATGATTGGAAGAAATTTCTCAATCGCAATATCTTCGCATTGTGTGAGAATATGCTTAGAGTCACTTCAATTAGGAGGAACATGAGAAAAACTGTGTGAATATCTTATGTCTTAGTGCAAATTTCCAATAGCTTCTATAAAATGCTGATTTGGAGGCAATATTGTATCCAAATACTTGATGACTTTTTATTTGCAATCAAATTAGGAGCTTGAATCCATCTTAAATTAGTCCACACTTGAGTGATTTGCAACTAGTGTGAGAATCTTAGTTGAAGATTTATAATTATAGTATTCTTGTATCGTGCATTATACATGCTTGCAAATACAATATTGTCAAAATTTATGTCTACTAAGCCTTTTTAAAGTATTCTAGTTAGTATAGAATGCGTAGTCCATAATCTTGTGGTCAATTTTCACTAAGGTTTCTACTAACAATAAGGTAATTGCTTAAAAACAATTTTGGTTTTATACATGTAAAATGTTATTATTTCTTATAAAAATATTGCAATGGTTGATAATTCTTTCATGGTGGTAGGGTTTCAAATGTACTTCTAATACGTAATCAATCAATTAGTGACACATAAGACACAACTTGACGCCATTGGTCTTAAAGGGGTAAGCAACATATAGTTATGTTATTCAACAACCCTACTTACTTTCTTTAAGAACCTAGCAACACTACTAGGATTCGTTGAATTGAAATCCAATGTTGAATAGCAACCATGTTATGTTGACACTAAGACTATAATTGTGATACAAGCTATGATATCAAAAGTTGTATTTGACAAATATCTTCTATTTTTTTGTCAAATCCTCTATCACTCTCATTATATACAGAGACATATCACATTGCTCTTCTTCCACATCTTTCTTGTACTCAATAAAATTTAAACAAAAAATGAAAAAACCAACAATAGGGTCATCATCCAATAGTCCAACAGATGATAAAGTTGTGTAAAGTTTGAACTTACCATAACATCACCATATTTTCTCTTTGACCTTCAAAGTTATTTATGACGATCTCATAGGTTGGAGAGATTGAGGCTTCAACAACTAATTCATGAGAATTATAATCTCTTAGAGCTGAATTAACATTTTTACAAAGCGATGAACATCTACATGATACAAATCTATGGAATTTGGACTAAAAAATTGAACATCAAACTTACATCATTATCATTGTAAATTGGATAACTTGTATATTTGATCACACTTTATCTTATTTGTAAAGACAACTTATACAAAAACATCTCGATAATCTACTTGTTATTTCATTGCCTAATTATTATAATACATTGATTCACAATTATAAAAAAAATTAAGGATTAAACAAACAACAATGTAGATCAGTTGAACTCTATTGAATTGTATAACAATTTTCAGTCACATTTTCCTTGTATCACACTTTTTTCGGTGATTAATGTCACACTAGGCAATTATTAATCACATATTCTCCACAAGTATTTAAACAATCAATAATGCATAAGTTACATGATAGTTGAATAATTTGTTATATATTGTATGTCGCACTAGTCCGGAGCAACTCACTTTTTGTTCAAAAATGACCACAATTATACTTATCACAAACACATGACACACAATCTATATTAACCTATAGATATAATATAAGTTATATTAACATAATGTAACTTATGTGTAAAAACAATTATACTTAATACGTATTCTCTTGTTTTATCTTGTGCTTATATATAAGTCACTCAAAATTAATGCAATTTATATACTAGATATAAATTATGTATTAAAAAAATTAAATTTTGAGATTTTTATAAAAAAAAATACATTTAAAGTTTGATATTTATTTTTTTTATTTTAAAAATTTTATTTTTGGTCAATTTATTTGAAAATTAAGATTTTTTTATTTTAGTGAATATTAAGAAAAAAAGTTAAAATAATAATGACTAAAAAATACAATTTAAAAATCCTTTTTTAACGATTGTGTTTGCTAATCATGTAGTTAAGACAAAAGGACATGACACCTACATGAAAGAAATTTTTTCTTCACACATCAATTGAGTTCTTTAATTTGTTTTTCCATTATTA